CTCAGGTGACATCTGGTTAAGTCAGTCAACAAAATCAAAGACGTGGCGTGCCTCTTGAATTCTGTGTTTTTGTTGCTGCTGTGTTAAGTGTATGCTGGACATTAACCCATTAAGAACCACATACCCAGCTCATCAGACACCAGCAGGCACCAGCAGGCCCTAGAGCGTGTCTGGGAAGGCTGGCAAAGCTTAGGTGTGTAAGAATCTAAGTAAAGGTGGAGGCTGGTGTTGGCCAAAGCAGTTTTCCACCTGGTAAAATGATTATTACTGTTGTTGTTATTAGAGTTTTTGCAACTAATAACAAAAGGGGAGATGAACAAAACAGTTATTATTACATAGTTTTTATGAGTATATTAGATGTAGTGGAGACAGAATGAAAACAGCCACTTTCAAGGGTCAGCAACTTGAAAGAGTTCCTTGCCTTGTCTTCTTGCCAAAACTCGTTTCCTGCTTTTCTCTGGCTTTGGTGAGGGTTACGTTTGTACTAAAGAAAAGAGAAGACTGTCTGGATCCTGTCTTCTCTCAGAGCATGTCTTCCTGATTTCCTGTTTGATGTCCTTTGCTCATAGTGGATGCAGTGTAGATGTCTGGAACGGAGGGTAGGCTGGACAGAATTTTGTGAAAAAAAGTACAACTGCTGGAATTCTGAACCCCAGACCCCTTGGTCAAGGAGCAGGTCTTAAATAATATTCTGGTCCCAACACTAAAAACTCAGCCAGCTGGTGAAGTCTGAATCTTAATTCGTTTTATTCCTTTTGAATTTTCTACATAAGATCCCATTCATGAGTGAAACCCTATTGATAAAGTGCTTATTAAGTAAAAAAAAAAAAAAAAAAAAAAAAAAGTCATTTGACTTTAAAAAAAAGTATTCATAAAGTGAGCTCCGTTCCATCTGATTTTGAGGTTGAAAAGAAGAAACCTTTTAGGTCTTGAGGGCTTTTGATGGTCCTGAGTTTGTAAACAGGGAATTATTATAACCATGGTCCTTGGGCAGACTGCAAAGCAGAAAGGTCTGTTGGAACAGGGGGAAAGGGGGGGCGGGGGGAGCTCCTTGCCATCAGAGCAGATAGTCTCCTTCACCTGTCCTGTGGACATCTGTCTCCAAAGTCTACCCCAGACACACCTTTCCCCCTGGCCACTAGGATTCAACACATGGCAAACCTTCAATCTGCCATCTTCCCACTGACCCAGCTGCACCCAGGTTGTGGGAGCCATATTTGCATTCTGAAATATTTTCTAATTTTGACACTTAAAGATTTAACTTGTCTATATTAAGGGATTCCCTGCACTTTCAACATAATTATAATTTAAGCACAGGATACAGTTGAGGTTTGGAATTATCTAAGTAATTTTTGTTTTGGGGGCAGAAGTTTTCCTGAGAGCAAATATAAAAGGAAATCATGGTTTAGCGTAATTTCATGAGTGGACAGGGGGGAAAAAAATCCCATCCATTTTCACAGTATTTTGAGCACTGACATTGGACATGAAAGGGGAGGAGTGGGAGCAGGAAGCTGACACTCACTGAGGAAGGCCTATGCACCAAACACAGCTGCAGAGTTTGCTCCTTCCCCTGCTAAGAGCACTTATGCTCTTTTCTCTGTTCCTCCCTCCCTCTGGCTATTCCTTGCCTCTTCCCCATACCTGACCCAATCACTATTTTCTGAACAAACTCTGAGCTGAGGGAGCAGAGGGAGGAGAGCAAAGCTGCCTTGCAGGGCCAAGCGTGGGGTGCACAGTCAGCCTGCGGCCAGTTCCAGAAAGACAGAAGTGCTCACTGGATTTAACATTAGGTCACGGGGCATTTCTGTGTAGTGACTCCAGAGGAAACTATATTTGGGTAGGCTGAGAATTGAATTGAAGATGAATAATTTGAAAGTATAAATTATTTTTATGAGATGGTTTGGTTCTAAAAAGGAAGCAGTAATAAAGCCAAGGAGCTTCTAAGGAAAGTTATTTTGCAAAAATGCAAGACAAATAGTATGGGCCAATGGGAGAGAGAGGCCCAGGGCACCGGAGAGCTCATTTTATGGGTTGATGGAGGGCTGCATTGCTATTAGGAAGAGGGCTACCTTTAAATATTTTGCTATGCAAAATTGCTATCTCCTTTATTTCTCAAAATACCCCTGTTGGAGAAAAGGAAAATCTTTTCCTCTTAAATTCAGTAGCTGGGGCCTGCAGATGAAACTGACAAAAGACAGGGTAACTGGAAGAAAGGGTTTGTTTTGAATGCGCACAGGCCTCACAGAAACGAAGTGAAAGATTTTTCCATACCATTTTAACAGAAGGCAATAAATTATGGAGAGGTGATAAGCAAAGGAAAAGGGATGGGGGCTTCTAAGGGTGGTACTGTGGGAAGGTAGATTTGCAGGGTAAACAATTGGGAGATAAGGGCTTTTCCTAAGGTTTGTTTGTGCAGCGTCCTCTCTGTGCCATCTTTCTTTTCCCAGTGAGGAGGGTCGCTCTGGATCTGGTACGGGGGAGAGGAGACGGGCGCCTTCACAAGGGAAGTTTAAGCCCTGCTCCAGGCCGAAAGCGGAGGGCAGCGTCTGCTGTTTCTCACTTGCCTTCACTGCAAAATAATCCAATGTCCCAGGGGCATATTTCAAGGTGGCGTACTCTCACCCCCTTCCTTATGAACCAGGTAAAGGGCAGCGCCCCCGCTATACACAGGAGGAAAGGTAACCAAGCATCTTGCCTAAAGACTCACAGCTTCTAAGGGATGGACCTGGGATTTGATCTGGGACCTATCTAATACGAAGGTTATTGCCTTTCTGCTGTATAACACAACGTGGAGGCTACTGCATAGAAGTATGTTCTCAACAAACAATTCGTGAACTCCAAGGAGTTGAGCGAGGCAGTGCTCTGGCATGAATCATGTCCTGCTAGTTCATTGGAGGCAGGGTCTGTGCTCTCCTTTTTGGCCAAGAGCCTCATCATGAGTTGCATTCCGATGTTTTGTGAGGTGCAGTCACGCAGTCTAACTATGGGTAATGGTAACAGCTGTCAACTTGGTCATTGACATGGATGTAACAACAGTACACCAAGATGCCACGTACACGGAAGTTGCTCAGCTCATAATCCCAGAGTTTTACAGGGGGCTGGTTGAATTCAGAGAAGAATGATGTGGCACTGGGAAAAGTCATGGGAAAATTATTCAATATCATATGCTTTTTACAATTTAATTGCTGCCTGTCTCCAGGCTGAATTGAACTCTGGAAGGCATTTTCTTTTCACAGCCACAAAATGCATTTTGATATGCAGCAAATAACATGTAGCTGCGGGGGTTCCTCACTAAAACACGATGAAAAGAATCAGTTGAAATTTTCTTGTCCATTGACAAACACTTTGCACATTATTCCAACCAGTACTGATTGGATTTATTTTTAAGCCAACTCTGTAAATTGTACTGACAGTAAACAATAAAATCAGATGATTGTTCGAATGCAGAAAACATAAATACATATACCAAAGCTGCTTGTTCTGCCTTGTCCTGGCCTCTTAGCGCCTTGGCTGAACCCCGTTTTCTTTATGGGGAGTCACAGGGCCCCGGAAAATGCTACTCCAGGAAAGAAAAGTCAGTTGCCATGCCGACTGCACAGTATAAAATGTTTTAAGGTTAAATCCCCAGTTTTAATATGAGAAAGCTTCATTGTCTTTTGGAATTAAATCAGGGTACCAACCATGATAGTCATATTCTGGAACACATCAGATACATGAAAACTGAAACATGAAAATTCTTCTCACATACTTGTATCTCCTTCCTTCCCGTTGACAGTGTGCTGGTCTCCTCCAACACATAATAGGTGCTTCGGCAGTGATGCCAGCGTCCCATCTCGATAAGATATGTTTATCATTCTTTTGACGTTGTTTTGCTCTAAAACATGAAGAATGAGCTCAGTGCCTGGCTTCTGCTCTTCAGGACTGGGGGAGACTCCAGGAGCGGCAGCAGGGCCTGTTCCTGCGTGTGCTCCCAGGCCTGGTCCATGGCAGATCCTGACCGTGGGCATTGCATGAAACTGAACCATAGGTCCCATGTCTCTGTTCGCAGCATTGCACCTTCACATTCTTTCAGTTCTCTATCCACGTAGCAGCAACATGCCAGAACTTATTAATGTTCATTGTTAATGAAGATTTGCTTATGGGAAGGTGAGGGACCAAAAGGGACCTAAATTCATTGTCTTTTCATTTGAAAAACACATCAAGATGAACAGGGATATGCCATCTCCCCAGAGCATGCAGTTGAGACTTTAGAAGGGGTGGGTATGGTCTGTCTGGGGGTGTCATAGTAGGCAGTGAGAACATGCTCATTTTGTTGGACTCGGGGCTTGGAAGTGAAGGGGTCATTTGAGGAAATAAGATGTTGGATGGTGTTGGGTGTTCCGAACATCCTTTTGAAACACTGCCCTCTCAGAGAATTAGCCTGGTATGAAATATCCATAAATTGGGGCAGCATCAGGTGAGTTTCACATAATTGTTGTATCCGCAGTCTATCCAGAAGCATTGGCATGAACCTGTCGTCTCCCTCTTGTTGATGCCTTTTGATAATTTACTTTTAAGAATAAAATGAAATGTCAGTAGCTAGTCCTACTGAAGAGAGTCTGCTGTAGAACAACCATTGGCTCGTTGGAAGTTGTAGGCCTGGGTCTGCAGGAGCTGAGACAGGACATTGTGGCCATCACTCATTCATAGGAGTCAGAGCCACCTCCACAACATGGAACACACACACATTGGAAGAAATAGCTCAGTTTTTCTGCAATCAGGAATGTTAGTTAGTCAGAGTGGGCCACCCTCTCTCCTCAGCAGAGAGAGTAGAGAGTACCACCCTTTTCTCCCGCTGCTGAGCCTGCAGAATGCCCTATAGAACTTCTCCCCAGCTCTTCACTGAATGGAGATGCAGAGCAAGTGCTTCTTGTGTCAGCAGGGGGTTTTCAGAGCCTCCTGGTGTCAGGGAGAATGGCTACAATTGAAGTTCATTTAGTGTTTTCTTTTCCCCCCAACAGGTTCTTAGCATGATAATCAATGCAGCTTACAAACCTGGGAGGGTATTGAGGGAACTACAACTAGTGGAAGACCCACACTGGAATTTTCAGGAGGAGACGCTGAAGGCAAAGTAAGTGTTTTTAATTCTGGGAAACAAGGGTTCTTGTAATAATACTTGCCCTGCTCCTTTGAAACTGTTCCTCTTTTTAATTTTTTTAAATTATTGATTTATAGAGAGGGAAAGGAAAAGAGAGACATTGATTTTTTGTTGTTGTTCCACTTGTTTATTTATTTATTTATTGGTTGCTGCTTGTATATGCCCTGATCAAAGATTAAACCCTCAAATGTGGTGTATTGGGACTATTCTCTCACCAACTGAACAACCCAGCCAGGGCCAGAAACTTGTGGGCCCTTTTTTGGCCACAGCCCAGGGAAATGGCAGCAGAGGGCTGTTGCTCTGTAGTTCTGGGTGCTGGGCACTGGTCGTTGGCATTTGCTGCACGGAGTTGTCTTGAGCCTTAGGATTCCTCCTAAGGATTCCGCCGGTGAACTAGAGCAGTGGTCGCCAACCTTTTGGACCTCACAGACCACCTGCTGGTGAGCGCTGAACTAGGGAGTTGCTTAACTAACATGTAGTGTGCTAAACATTTACAATTAAAACATGCTGTGTTCAGATAGAATACATCACTTGATCAAAAGGGGAAACTTTTATAAAAGAGAGACTATCCCTTATCAATATGCATTATTCATTAGCATTGCTTAATATTCGGTACTGTAAAAAGTTTAATTAAGCCAGATCCAAACATTCCTTACCCTGAGAGTTGACAGTTCTAAAGCAGCAGCGGTTGGGGGTCGCCACAACATGAACTATAATATATTAAAGGGTCACAGCATTAGAAAGGTTGAGAACCACTGCTCTAAAGAATAAAATGAACCAATACCTCTGTTTGGCATTGGTGAATGTGCTGCGGGTTGACATATAGTGCTCAGCTTGTTCCTTTATTTGGAAATAGGCTCGTTGGAAAGGTGCTGTTTTTGCTTTCAGTTTCTTGAGTTCCCAAGCTGGGAGCACCTCCTGGATCAACAGGGTTGAACTGGATTGTTTCGATCCCTTTTTCTACTTATGTTTAGTAATTGCTTTGGTGTCCTGGGAGGCCTTTTAATATTCAGTTATTCTTTTCAAATAGAATAGGTCTTCTGGTCAGCTTCTTGTACAAGTGAACTAACATTGTTTAGATAACATTTGGGAAATGATGCTGTTTGAAAGAGTGAACCACTTTTCAAAGGCCAGCATGTATGTAAACCCTTCTTTAAAGAAAGTGCATGCCTTATTCAAAGTGAAAGTTGAGGAATATTAAATTAATGTGTATGAGCAGTAATTATCTACCTTGTAGTTATCCTACACTAGTACTAAGTAGAGATGTTTACGTACTGTGTTGTTCATCAACACCTTTTGTCATTTACCCACTCAGTACTTTCTAGTGTCTATTTTGAACATCTCTGTAGTTTTAGATTCAGTAAAAGTTACTTATGGTCTACAGATATTCTGCCAAATCACAAAAGTGAAAGGGAATATATGCAAACAGGAGACTATTTCTATGAAGTGCCATGTGAATGGAAGGTGGTACCATAGCTCATTCTTCATTTCTTTCCCAAGAAATATTTAAGTGAGCTTCACATGTAACCAAGGAAAGACCAAAATAAGTTTTTTCCCAAGGTAATATTCCATATATTCCTAACTTACTTAAGGGGATGACCATTAGCAATAGTAAAATCAAGGGCAATTGGTTATAGTAGTGAGTAAGTATTTATACAGAAACCCTTGTTAATTCTTATTTTAAAAATTTTCTATATCATTCAATATATCCAAAATACATTTAATGGGTATGGAAATAGTAAAAGTTAAAAAAAAAAAAAACAACCCCCTACATTCTATTAAAATCTCCCCCTGCTCCTACCTAAGCTAGAAACTTGCTCTAGATACCAACATGACAAAGGAGCACTCATTTTCCAGTATTTGCACTCATTTTCTCATCGCCATGTCTATCAGAGCCTTTATTAAATCCTGCCTGATTCAATCAATGCAGACACGGCGCACTATTGTAAAGGCGGTGAGGTGCCTGTCATATCAAACGTGACAGGGAGTTCCTCAGCAAGATGGCACACAGCGGCGCTGGGGAAAGGGCTGTGAACTGGGTTCGATTGTGCGGATCACAGCGGCCTCTCCCCGCGGCTGCTAATGCTAACAGACTTCCAATGAGTGGGAGCATTTTTCCCCACACGGGGTATTGAGTCACTTCTTTCCTCCTGATGTAAAGCGACAACTTTTTAGATCCTGACAACTTTGCTATTTCTTTGGTTCAAATGGGAAGCAAGGGAGAGAGAGAGAGAGAGAGAGAGAGAGAGAGAGAGAGAGAGAGAGAGAGAGAGCTGGCTTCTGCCCTGGGAGCTGAAAGGCTGATGTGGTCGCTGTCATGAGTAAATTAACTCAGCACAGAGACCTGCATTTAGGGTATCCAGCCACCGTGGTTGTGGTCCGGGAAACTATAGCATCACTGAGGATGTTTTTTGGGAAGAAAGAGCATCAGACCCTCCATAGGACTCTCTGCATGCTGTCACTGAGCATCTGGGCTTCTAATGGGTTTTACTTTGAAAGCCGGGGTGGGGACCTTTGTTCTGCCAGGGCCATTTAGGTGTCTATAACATCATTCTCGGGCCATACAGAATTATCAACCTAAAAATCAGCCTGTTATATTCGGCCAAACATTTAATTAGCTCACCTAATGTCTTGGCAGGGCCAGACCACATGAGTTCTCAGGCCTTATATAGCCTGTGGGCTGGATACCCCTCACCCCCGTTCGAAAGGGTAAATAAAGACCCATTTACTTGGGAGGGTGGAGGTGCCATTGAAAAGGTTTGACTTGTACATAGAAGGAAAGCTAACACTGTCACCTGCAGTTGCTCCTCAGAGTTTATTTTTCTGTTTGTCCAATAACCATACCCTTACAGTAAAACAAGTCAAGGCAATATTTGATCACTGTGTAAGGAGTCTGTGATATTATGGGTCTTTCACATGAAAGGCACACTGTAGTGCGGCAGTGCCAAGGGAAAGGTGGACTCTGATGCAGTTTGTTCCAGCTGTTCTGTCAGAGAAACTTCTTTTGGGTGATATTGTAGTGCACTAAATTGACCTGCATTGTTTTGAATTTCAGGAGGAGGAATTTAGGCTCTACCTTAGTGGGAATAAAAAAAAAAAAGTCCAACTCTATGCATCTAGAGACTTTTAAATATTTTTTTCCAATATGTTACAGAATCTTGAGTGTGTGTCTGGGGGGCTTTTCTTTGCGTGGCTTTTGTGATCAGCTTTACAAAAGCCAGGTGGAGGTTTAGTAGGTTTCCCCAGTTACTTCTTACTTAACTAGGATATATCCTGATATAATTTCAAGTGAATTAGTCTTCATTATCAGCTAGGCAGAAGCGAGGTGTTAGTCAGATCTGTCCTTTTAGGTGAGTCATTCTCGGATTCATGGAAAAGATCTTGGTTTCTTGTTTTTCATAAGCAGTGACTAATTTTGTATGTGTTTTTATCTTACTTTCCGGGGCCTTTTATTCATGCCCATATTTTATGAGTCAGTAAAATGTAATTTTTGGCTATAAGGAGATGATGTGAAAAAGGATTCCCAAACAGAGACTTTTTGCTGAAAAACATTTTGTTTCCTCATTTGTTAATGTTTACCTTGCTTAGATGTATGCAACTTGCTCCCCTGAAAAATGTATACTGTACACACTACATGAAGCAGGCAGGTGAACCAGCGTGTGGAAAGAAGACTGAATTTCTGTGTGTGGGCTTCAGTTCATCAGATTATAGGTGCGGTGTGCTGGCTCAAACACAGATGTGGTCCTCCTAAAGTAAACACCCCCACCCCATTCTCCCCCCTCCCTCATGTATTGCACAGAGCTCTCAGCACTTGCAATGCAGGGATCAAGAAAGAAGAGACTTTTGAGGAGTTGAGTATTACAAGTCTGAGACCCAGTGAGGGAGCCAGCGTATTGACCCTGGTGTGGATTGTGTGCCCAGTGAAGGAAATCAGAGCCAGATCTCCTTGTTGACAGCTTGTGAAGCTTCCTTATTTCTGCAGAGTTATTGGGGTTACCCCTTCCCACTTTAGTTCTTCCTTTAATAAACAAGGATGTGGATTCCGCCCTCTCACTGCCTACCCAAATTTTGTGAGAAGGTCCCGATGTGAGTCATTTGAAGATAAATGACGTGACTTAGGCCAAGTTGAGGGCATCCCGATGGGCCATGCGATGATTCTGGGGATTGTCAGGCCAGTGTCCACTTTTTGCGCTATTTCTTTTGGCTCAAAATCCATTGTGGTTTTTCTTAGCTCTTTCCTGGAGGAGAAGGGACCACTTTTCCCAGCACTCTTGTTCCTCCACCTTCATTGTCTTTCTTCACCCTGCCTTGTGCTGGCACACGTGGAAATAAGTCCCTACTTGGGTTGGTGGGAAGATACTGGAAGGCCACTCACGCTTCCTTACTGGGGTCATGGAGGAGAAACCTTTTCTCTGCCTCTTATGTTCAGTGCTTTGGAGTTTGCAGATTAAGCTGACAGAAGACCGGTTAGCAAGAGAAAAGACAGTTTACTTACAAGTGCAGTTTACTTACAGGTGCAAGGGCAGGACTGCCCCTTGCTGAGTAATCCAGGGGGCCCTTAGGATTTGGAACAACATATATTTGCATGGGACTTAGCTTAGTGGGGGGAAGGGAGGATGGAGAAGAGGCCTCCAGGGGAAGAAGAGGTGGGTTTCTTTAGGAAAGACAAATGTGTTTTAGGAGAACAAATAGGAGATAAGCAAGTCTGTGATAATGTTTGTTTATGCAGCGCGAGCCCTCTTTCTGTCCTGGCCATGAAACTCCCAAGAGGGGATTTATGGTACGTTTACTCTTCGGTCTCTCTCCGGCGATTAGAAGCTGCCTCGCAGAGGGAATTTATGGCAGTCTTCGTGCTCGAAAGTTTCTGTTTTTAGTCAGATAATGGAAGCTCTGAAAAAGCTTCTCTCTACATCTGTGGAATCTCAAATGCCTTTGCCTCGTGGGGTTCTGAGTGGGTCCCCACATTGGCAGCCAGGGGAGCTATCCCTCCTCTGTCCGTCTGTTGTTCTCTGCTCCCGGGTGTTCTCTCAGCATCTCTTTCTGGGCTCCAGACCAGCAGCCTGTTACTTCTTTCCTTCCCTCCTTCTCTCAGAGATTGTTGACAATGCCGGGGAGTTTTCTGCTATGTACTAGCTTGTTTGTCTCTTTCAATATCCCACACTCCCGCCCCCCTCAAAAAAACACATAAACACACACACACACAAACAACAACCTTGTAATACTTGAAGAAAATCTTATCTTCATCTGTTTACAATAGCCTGGCTGGGCCATTTAATAAATTACATGGCTCAGTGTTTTTCTCTCCAAGTTCACAATGAGAGGCTAAGGGAAAGGCGTTATCCCAGGCTTTTGAGCTCTTCCTGCCTGTAAGGTTAGGTCATTGGGATACTGCTCTTAAGCCTTTAGCGGAACGGACAGCTACAAAACAGATACTGATGTTCACCTGTGGTGACGTGAAGGCAGTGCAGTGGAGAGGACTGTGGCTTCCAGCTCCACCTGGATGCCTGGGTGCTGCCGAAGGTGCCAGCTGCCCTCCCACAGTCCCTCAGGTGGGGCTGCGGACACCTGTCCATCCATTCTGTCTGGAAGGTTATATAATGATGACGTGGTGTAATGTCCTTGAGAAAATAGAAAAGACAGTATTGCATAAAACGCGGTTGTCTCCTGAAACCCCACCACGGGGCAGGATCTTGGAGCTGCTTTATGCTTGTGTGTCTTGGTAGGCCAGCACCTCTCTCAGTTTCTCGGGCTTTGTTAAAACAGTTGTTTGAACAGTTGCCCTGATTTGTTGACCAACTCCCAAACAAACCCGATCATTGCTTCAGTCTGGATTCGGATGTTTCAAACAGTTTTTCTTCCACATTTGTGTCAATAACTGAAAACGATCCCAGTACTAATAGCGCTCGAAAGCATGCATTTGGTGGGAAATATACATTAAGCTTCATGTTGTGTGAATCATTGTATAAGATACATTTTATTTTTATGATTTTTTTATGTTTATTTTGAAAAGCTGCAGATTGCAACTACAAAATAAAAATGGACTATTCTTTCTCCAGATGGATTTGGTAGTAAATTGTTGGTCAGATGCCCCAACCTCCCCGATATACATGGGCAACCTGGCTCACACCACCTCCAGCATGTTTATTTGGTCAGGCTCCAGTGCCATGCCAGTCTCTTGTCACTTTGTTCTTCCCTCACCCCTCTCAGGGGCCAACTCTTAATGCCAGGCCCTCGCACCGGCCCACGCCAGCTATCCGCCAGATGCAGATGTCCTCACCCTGCCCAGAACATGGCAGCCTGCACAGACGGCCGCCTTATACCCTCTTCTCACCCGACTCAGGTGTGGGTCCTTCCAGCTGGGGTTTAACTGAGGAGGACCGTGGGGACGGATACCTGTGGAAGACAGAGAAAGAAAGACCAGATTGGGCAGAGGGAGGGACCATCTGCAGCCTGTGGGCAGCTGTGGCGTTATGGCCCTCCGTGGCTGTCCAGAGTTGGCCCAGGTGGCCAGGCCTTTTTTCCCCTACCACACTTAGTCATTGCATGGGGCTGTCCGCGGGAAGGTGGAGGGCAAGGCATCTTCTGCAGCTGGGGCAAACCAAAAGGGGCGACATCTGGAGAACCCTGGCCAGCAGCACTGCTTGAACCAGGACAGCTCATCCTTCAGGGAAGGGAGGTCCCAGCAGTACTTGAGTGTGCACACTCCGGCTGAGACACTGCGGGTCCCACCCTGCCTTCCCCGGCTGGCACTTTCCTTGCTCTGTCCTCCCACCCTTACCACCACTGCCGTGGCTTTTAGACAGAATTATTCCCAAAGGGCAGGAAAGAGGAGAGGAGTCCCTTCCCTTTAAACCATACTGAGTGAAATAAGCTAGGAGGTGGAAAACAAATACCTTATGGTCTCACTTATAGGTGGAATCTAATGAACAAAATAAGCTGATAAGCACGATAGAAAGCGAGGCATGGATACATGGAACAGACTGACAGCTGTCAGAGAGGAAGTGGGAGGGGTGGACTGGATGACATAAAGTGAAGGGATTAGCCAAAGAAGATTTATATAACCCATAGACGCAGACAACTGTGTGGTGATGGCCAGAGTGAGGGGGCTGGGGAGAAAGGTGGGGAAGGAAATGGGTAAAGGGTAGCAAAATGGGGACATCTGCAATAGTGTCAACAATGAAAATAAAGATATAGTTAAAAAATGACTAATTTTATTTTCATAAGTTTAGATTGGTTTTTCCTAATTGTGAAGGGCTGTACTGAAACTCTTCCACTGAGTCATCCTCCTTCGGGAGAGGAAGAAAAGGCCACCCTGTGTGCAATCTCCAGTGCTTGTTCCCACTTTCCTGCGCCCTCCCCTGTGCTTTTGGGAGTGTCCGCTTGCGAATGTGACGTCTGGGAACAGAAAAAGCTGCCTGTGGCCCCAACTTCCACAGTTTGAATTTTGACCTGATTTTTACAGTTCTGCTATTTTACCTTCTGTTATTTTACTATTTTATAGGGATTTTACGAATCTTGATACTGAGCTCTTTAGAAGAGAGAGCCCCAGAAATACTAAAATCGTAGTAGAAAGAATCACAAGAGAAAATGTAGAGTAAGACTGTATTTTAATTCTCCATTTCCACCACCATATGCAGTGATATCACCAACATAAAATTAGGAACCAGATCTTCTGGAAAGCAGATTGGGTTCTGCTTTAAAAGAAGTCCTGCATGCCTAAACCAGTTTGGCTCATTGAATAGAGCATCGGCCTGCGGACTGAAGGGTCCCAGGTTCGATTCCGGTCAAGGGCATTTACCTTGGTTGTGGGCACATCCCCAGTAGTGGGTGTGCAGGAGGCAGCTGATCATTTTTTCTCATCAATGTTTCTAACTATCTTTGAATAATTATAAAGGCAGTGTTCATGAAAATACATTTCAAGTCTCAACTGTTTTGTTCAGAGTTGTGCTGTGTTTGTGAAACACAAAGGAAGCAGTAGCAAGAACCACCCAGAGCGAGTCAGGAAGCCTCTTCTCAGGGCAGGGACACGCTTGCTTCTATATCTAGGGTCCACGGAGGCCCTAGAAGAGTCAGCAGTTGGACAAGGCTGTGGTCTTAAAGCACCATCTTGTCTGTAAAGAATTGCTTTGTACCAGTAGTTCTTACTACCCAGAATGTGCAGCTTGGCTTTTAGAGACAGAAGAATAAGAAGGACAGAGGGACTGGGACAGGGAAAACCAGTGAATGAACACTCAGGCCAGTTTTTCCAAGTTAGAATTTATTTTGTTGTTGTTGATACTTTAAAAAAATGAATTTTAGGGGGAAAATATTTAGTCTTCAGAAGGACAGAAAAAAATCCCCCACCAAGTTGAAATAAAAGCTATTTATTTCCATCACGTATTCTTAGTGAACCAGATCTAATGTTTTGAACTTAAGTGTTTTATTCACAAACTGCAAAGATGGTGATGATCACCTGATGTTACACTCCCAGTTGCACCAGTCGCCTCCTGTCTCTGTGGCGTGTGGTGGGTTGCCCGGGGACCTGAACCTCTGTGTGTGTGAAGGAGCAAGGCTGCGAAGAATTCTCTTACACACTCACTCACTACTGGGCAGCGTCTCTGCATTCGGTTAGCTTTCCAAAAGCCATGCCTGTTCTCTGCCAGAGCCACCCCCACCTGCTAGTTTTCTGGAAAATAATTTCTTGTTCAAGATTTCAATTTTATGTGTTTTCATTTCAGTGGACTCTTAGTTCAGTGAATGTAAACTAAAAAGTAAGGACCTATGATCTGCTGCCAACCGAAGACTTTATAATTATTTTATGCCAATGATAGTTATTTCCAAATGCTCATCCTTTCAAGGAGGCATTATTTACATCATTAATTACCATAAAAACAGGGTGTCTCCCAAAACAGCTGATAGCTCAATTTTGAAAATGAAATGTATTTTAATAAACACTGCCTTTATAATTATCCAAAGTGTGTGTATACATTTTTGGGGCACCCTATATTTGGAGGAGGTCTGCAGGACTTATGTTAAAGCAGAATTCAACCTGCTTTCCAGAAGATCTGGGTCCTATTTTATGTTGGTAATTTCACTGCATATGGTTTTTTCTTGGGCAGGAGAATGTTTTCTTCTCAAAATTGATGAGCAACAAATTACAGTATCTAGATTCTGGAAGCATCTGGAATTGGTGTGAATTACGTATGCCACAGTGAGAATATGCTAAGTGGAAATCTTTACTGTGGTAGTTCTCTTAGCACTGTCAGCACTGGAATTACTTAAAAATATTTGTGTGAGAACATAAAGAGTGATAAAAACAAATGACATGGAAACCACACGGAACCTGCTTTATTGTCACAAAATAAAAGGGTACTTTGGAAGACACTCTACAAACTAGGGCTGAGTAATTCTGCATCTTGCCAAAACTTTTCCTTCCTTCCTTCTAGGTACAGAGGCAAAACATACAGGGCCGTGGCCAAGATTGTACGAACTTCTGACCAAGTAGCGGACTTCTGCAGACGGGTCTGTGCCAAGCTGGAGTGCTGTCCAAATTTGTTCAGTCCTGTGCTGGTTTCTGAAAACTGCCCAGAAAACTGCTCCATTCATACCAAAACCAAGTACAGTGAGTACAAATACTGAACAGAACATTGGTCCCTGGGCCTGAACTGCAGGGTCAAGTAGTTAGTGTGTGTGGTTTTTTAAATAACTTTTAAAAAAAACACACACACATATATTTTTATTAATTTCAGAGAGGAAGGGGGAGGGAGAGAGAGATAGAAACATCAACGATGAGAGAGAATCATTGATCGGCTGCCTCCTGCACACACCCCACGCTGGGGATCGAACCTGCAATCCGGGCATGAGCCCTGACTTGGAATTGAACCACGATTTCCTGATTCATAGGTCAACACTCAATCATTGAGTCACACTGGCCGGGCTTAAAAACCTTTGGAGCTGTTTTACATAGGGACTGCTGTGGAAGAATTCTCTATGATCTGCTGCGGCCAATGGTTCTGTGTTTTCCAGCTTGGTCTAAGGAGGGGGTGGGTGATTAAAATCAGGACGTGTGTCACTGGTTGGCATTGGCGACCAAGAGTCGAGAGTGTATACGCTGTTATGCATGTCAGGACATTGGTTGATTCAGAAAACTAAAACTAAAACGAAAAGAAGGGCACAATAAAACAGGTTATTGGTAATGGCTAGTCACCAGAATTACTTCTTGGTTTTTAACACTAAGCAGTTATGAGGAGTCCTTCACTGCTTTTTTTTTTACACGGGCAACATCCTTGTCACAATCTGTTTCTCCCCTGTTGATACTACTTCCTTCAGACTCTCGAGAGGAGCAGTTTGAAGGGGCAGAGCACTCTTTGCTTTTTGTGCTCCCGACTCTGCTTCTCCACCTGCCCTGGGAGAGTAGCTACCCAGGTCCACGCCTTTGCTTTGACCTCTTCCCGGCAAGATGTTCTCTCCCTCGGCACTTGCCTCTTCTATCTCCCCACCAATTGGTGACCTCTCCTTCTCGGGTTGGTTTCCCTGGGCTCTGTCCTGCCTCTGCTCTGGTCTCGCCTCTGCACCGCGGACAGCACAGGCTCTGAAGGCTCTCTGGTCCTGGCTTCTGCCCTGTCTGTGTCTGCCTCAGTTGTGTCTAATCCAAGGGGTGTCTACACCCCGTCACAGTGACCTGGGAGTTTGTTCTGCCGGCCCATGTTCCAGGACCCACAGGCATGGTCGGTGCTCCGTGGGCCCCATCCCGATGGGATTTGTCACCTTGTGTGTCAGGAACCTGAACATGCTTGAAACACTATTCAGAGTGTGCATTTCCTATGTGATATATATCTCCCTATTTCATCTTGCCTACATGGTCACTCATGGACAAATTGTAGGAATCTTCTCCCTCTTGCCCCTGCACTCTATGTCCATGCATGTATGTGTGTGTAGCCTTTTAAAAAAACACTTTAAATCCCCTCCCTTTTCTCTCTCCTTGTAGCCTATTATTATGGAAAGAGAAAGAAGATCATTAAGCCCCCAATTGGGGAAAGCAGCATTGAAAGTGGACACCCTAAACCAGTCAGGCGTAGGAAACGGCGAAAATCCATTTTTGTGCAGAAGAAACGGAGGTCTTCTGCCGTGGACTTTGCAGTAGGCTCGGGGGAGGTATGTTCACCCGCAGCACCTCCCGGCTCTGCACTGGGACGCAGGGCCTGAGGGCAAGAGCGATGGCCTCAGTGAAGTCTGATCGGAATGGTTGGACACATGAGATACCAGCACCCTCCTCCTCATTTTTTGTTTTTGTTTTGTTTTTTAAATATATTTTATTGATTTTTTTACAGTAAGGAAGAGAGAGGGATAGAGAGTTAGAAACATTGATGAGAAAGAATCATCGATCAGCTGCCTCTCGCACACCCCCTACTGGGGATGTGCCCGCAATCAAGGTACATGCCCTTGACCGGAATTGAACCTGGGACCTTCCAGTCCACAGGCCGACGCTCTATCCACTGAGCTAAACCGGTTTCGGCTCTCATTGGTTGATTTAGATTGTCAGCTGCTCCATCTGGGGAAGGGATGCCACTGGGACCGAGGTTGGGACCTGCAGATTGGTCCTCAGGGCCACCTGGATGGGAAAGACCTTGGGGTAGAGCCCAACCTCGCGTGTTTATGAAGGCTCCTCTCATGTAACTCCATCCCCCTGTTTCTCTCCTTCCCAGGAAAGTGAGGAGGAGGATGCGGAAGCCTTGGATGATGACACAGGGAGCGAGGAAACAGGCTCGGAGCTGCGGGATGACCAGATAGACACCTCGTTGGCCGAGGTCCCCTCTGCCAGGCCCCGGAGGGCCGTCGCCCTGAGGAGCAGCTCCGAGCCTGAGCCCCGGCTGCCCGTGGAAAGGACGAGAAGGGGCCGGAGAGTACAGGCCGCCTCCTGTGCCGAGGGCGGCGACAAAGGCCCGGCAGCCAGCCAGGACCAGGACACAGCACAGGTAAGCACGTGGGCCCAGGAACTGGCTTGTCCAGCAGAGTGTTGAAGAAGAAAATGCATTAAAGTTCCTGACCTAAATTTTTGGGGCACCTGTTTAAAATACTAAAAACACTAACATGGGTCTAGCCCAATTCTAAGTCAAGGGCAAGAGGCTTGGTGATTTCATGGCTTGACTGAGTGGGTCAGTGAGCATCAGATTGGAGTTCTGAAGGAAGGCTTTAAAACCACCAAGAATTCTTTCAGGAGCACAGACAGAAGCCCTCAAGGTCCCATTGAACACTAGACGTTCCCTTTATAGGGTGCTCTATGATGCCATAAAATAGTAAATCAGCCAGGTGGGTCTCCCCGAAGCCCACAGGTGCCTGATGATCAGCCAACAGGTCACTGACACCATTGTCCCCCAAACAAATGGGGGAGCAGCTCACTGTCTTGTGTACATTTGCAGATGCCCCTTGTCATTCATTTCTCCTATTCGGTCGGCTGTCCCAAGTTTTCCTGAACATGGGATTCCACAGCTGTTATCACTCCCTTTAAAAAATATTTTCCCTCTAGAGTAAGGTGACCAGACGTCCCACTTTTGGCGGGACAGTCCCGATTTTTAACAATTTGTCCCGTGTCTCGAGGCATTTTTAAAAAGTCCCGATTTTTGGAAAGAATCGGGACTTTTTTTAAAATGCCTCGGGACGCGGGACAAATTGTTAAAAATCGGGACTGTCCCGCCAAAAGTGGGACGTCTGGTCACCTTACTCTAAAGGCACACACATCACTGGAGGCAGTCATAACCCAGATGAGTTGCTAAGAAGGTTCCCAGGAAGCCTCTGTGGTTTGTCCTGCGAGTTATGAGAGACTTTACGGGGAGTCCCCTCAGGGTCCAGGAAGGGTTAAAGGACCCCACCGCCCATGCAGTGATACAGTGACCTCCAGCTTCCCCCATCTCCACAGGAAACAAAGCAGGAGGAGGAGGAGCGGCTCATTCTGGAGAGCAACCCCCTAGAGTGGACGGTGACCGACGTGGTGCGGTTCATCAAACTGACAGACTGTGCCCCCTTGGCCAAGATTTTTCAGGAACAGGTACAGTGGCTCTGTGGTGTACTTGCTGTTTGTATTATGAGACTCTGGCTCTCAATTAATTCTCTGTTTTAACTGGCATCCTGAGACACAGCTTTGGTAAGAGAAGGGGCATGTCTTCATTACTTCTGTGTGTGGGGGGCAGAAGTCTGAGATCCACATATGGTCTTCACCAACACCTCCTTGAAGGATTCTTTGTGGCCAAGTGGAGATGGGAGTCTCGACTCTCCACGTGACCTTCTTAGATACCCCACTTCTGGGGGTGGGGACTCGGCGCCACCTGTGCTGGTGATGGTGCCTGGGCCGCTTTGTCCCGCAGGGGAGCAGCCTTTGTCTGAAAGGTTTTGTCTCCCCAGGCCACCCCTTCCCCAGTCCTCTGGCTAGAGGGAGCAGGTCTCTGTTGGGCCTCTGGCCATCTCTGCCCATTGGCATTTCTGGGTCCCCAGTTTCTTTAGCAATAAGCCTTGGATATAAGAGCGAAAGAAAGAAAACCCAGAGCACTCACCCCCAAGCCATATCTTGGGTCCCGCAGTCCCAGCGGGTCTGCCTCTCTCCACTTTCAAATTCCTCTTAAGTTTGTTTGTTTATAACATCTAGTGCTTTTCTTTATGTTTAGTGGGAGAAATAGGGAAAGATATGACACATCCAGAAGTAATTTTCTATACATTTTGTTTTTCTTCACGCTGCTTTCAACACTGTTTTCTTCCTTGCTTCCCTTTGTCTTGGGAAAATATTTTAAAGCCTGTAGTATGTCAGGTGGGTATTGTGCTAGTGATGGATAAACACAAAAACAAGTGATGCAATCTATATCTTACAGGAATTTTAAATTTAGCAGATGGGGTGACTGTAACGCGCTAAAATGTAAGATGCGCCATGATGAACCATAGGAAAGGATGGTTTTTATTTATATTTTCCCTCAAGTTAATATGTGAACAAATTGGTACTCTCTAAACCCATGCCTCCTTGCAGACTTCTCACTGGCCTCATATAAAAAGTTCAAGTTTAAGCCTGTGGTGCATGCTCTGCTGGGTTTGCTTAATCTGCTAAAATTTCTTGCATTGTGTCACAGTGTAAATATATGTCACTCAAAACCCTGTCTATTTTTCTTAAAGTTTTCCATAAAGTAAATTAAAAATATGTCTATCCAGTCTTTTTTTAGATCAAACAAACCAATAGTTTAGAAAAGGGGCAATTCGAGCAATAAATCAGGAAGAAAAAAAAGAAAGGCCTCTTATTTCCCATGCTCCCAGTGAATTTCTCAGCTTTTCTCCCAAGTTCACCATAATGCGGCAATGACTTGTGAAAAGCAAATAACTGTGGTTCCCAGCTTCTCCCAGGGGAGAGGAGTGCTTAATGTTTAAAGGTCTCTGATTGACCACGAAAGTCTTGTATAGACAACTATGCGTGCACCCTGAATGAATGAAAAATGAATGAATGAATGAATGAATGGTGGTGAGAGAGCAAGGTTACCTCCCAGCTGTCTGACTGCATTTCCTCTCTGAGTGACACTTGGAAGCAGACAGGTAGGAAAAAGCTTCTTCCTTAGACACAAGGAACCTGCCTAATGAGCATGTCTCTTTATTAAAACACACAGACAGAAAAGAGAGAGAATTACAAGAAATGTTAGGACTTTTTTGACTTGGAGCATGCTGATCAGCTATGTCACTGTCTTGAGAATGAAAATACAGCAGAACTTTGAAATCTTGCTAAAAGCATTGCATTTGAATACATGACAAGTGCAGGTATAAAACATGATGGTGTAACATGTATCTACTCATTCATATGTGCACACTCCACATATACTGATAGAACCTCCATAGTCAAAAGGCAGATGGGAAATGTAGCCTTCTCTATTAGTTTAAAGTTTTCTTTTTGTTATATTTTAGGCCCAAATCTAGCAGATGAGATGACTGTAACTCATAAATAAAAATACACTGTGTGGCCAGATTATTATGATCTCTGAATGCATAATAATATGCCACTCAGTATGTGTGTATGTGTGAATATATATATATATTCACATACACACACACACACACACACACACACACACACACACATATGTGTGTGTGTGTGTATATGTGTGTGTGTGTGTGTGTGTATGTGAATATATATATATATATTCATACACACACACACACACACATACTGAGTGGCATATTATTATGCCACCACACACACACACACACACACACACACACATATACACACACACACACACACACGTGTGTGTGTGTGTGTGTGTGTGTGTGTGTGTGTGTGTGTTAGAGGCCCAGTGCATGAATTCGTGCATGGGTCTAGCCAGGGGAGGGGACATGGGCGGTTGGCTGGCCTGCCTGCTGGTCGAACTCCTGGTCGAGGGGAGTTTGCATATTAATCTTTTATTATATTTAGGATATACACTGAGTGGCCAGATTATTATGCGTTCAGAGATCATAATAATCTGACCACTCAGTGTATGTCTCTCTAGTCTTTAACTGATAAATGTTTTTCAATTGGTCCTAACAGAACAGAGGGCAGAGTTTCTCACACCAGGATGCCAGGTTATCCATGAAGCTTGAGACCATTTGCACTGTGAAAGGTTCACTGGCTCATGCGTTGATTCCTTTTACAAGTTTCTAGTAATAAACAAGTGAAAACAAAGCTGATTTGGGGAGAAGGCTCAAGTACAACGTATGCTGAGTTTTTTTACTTTAATGCTTCTAAGGTCTGCTTATAACAGCATCTTTGAAAGCTCCATGCCTTCCCAGGCTAAGGCTTCTAAGACGTGAAGTGTTCCTGGCAGGTTGCCACTTCTAGAGCCAAGCAGTGGGCAGGGCCCTCCCTTTAGATGCTTTTCTCACATCAGTTAAAAGCTTGGTCCTATATACCTACTTATTTCTCATGTAAAAGGGAAAATAAGTGGACTTTAATTAATAATAGCCTCATTCCTATTAACTTCAAATTCCATGATAGGCCATTTTGCCTGTCATAATAAAAGGCTGTTACCCCACTGTGCTATCTGAAGCACAGGGGCACTTGAGTCCTTTCTTGTTCAATCAGACCTTTAATTACTAATTTTTACTAATTTATTCTATCATCTTTGAGTGGGCATGCCACGGCTGTGATTGTTGAGGTCTCCAGAGGGACACTCCAGGCACCGTGTGAATTTTGAGATGAACTGGAAGGAGCCCAAGGTCTCTATGCACCAGCATGTGAAAAAATCACAGGGCATGGAATGGTAATCGCTATGTGAGCTCGCTCCTCTGGATGTTGTAAATTCAGAGACTATCATAATCACCAGGAGCATTTGTACAAATTATAAACTTCCCATTACTGGAATACATGCCTTATAATTCTTAAACATTATGGCAACTGCTTAAAAAAACTATACTCTGTAATTTCATGTTGTACACATGTATATTAACCAGTAAAACCCCATACTTCTATAACTAAACAAACGAAACACTCAAAAAAATTTTGCCTATTCATTCACTTTTTATGAATGGGAGACATAGAATAATCAAAGAACCAGATTAGTGATTTATTTTAATAAAAAATTGTCAGCATAGTTTACAGGTTTATTTTTAGACTATTCCCTCTTCTTTCTACTTCAGTAGACTTGAATGTTCCCACTGAGAAACTGCCATGTCCTATACTGATCTCTTTATCAAACAAAAATAAAGTTAATTCTGCCATGTGCTAAGCATAACTTTCACGCAGTGTATTTCATTACATTTCATTTACTAAAAATTAGTAGTCCATTTGTGCTAATTCTGTGTTGAACATGACAAGTGATTTGCCAGCAGTTCTGAATTATGTGAAAGCACATTTGTAAGAATTAAATTAACTGTGAGGTCTGTTACTACAAAAATCAATGGAAATAAGAAACCTTTCTTCAAACCAGAGCAACAGCTGCGTATGAGAGGAACTGCCAGGTGGAGTTCCTCCGCCTTCCTTGACTCCTTGCAGGATCTTATGTGTGTTTTGCCCAGTTTTTTTCTCCATCCCTCCCCCTTCCCTCTCCCCAACTCCTCTGTGGGGACCCTGCATGGTCATTGATGATGCGCAGCCTGCAGCATGAGATAGACATGTTGGTCAACCACATTTGATAACAGTAGCTACCACCATCACTCTCCCATACCAATGACAATCGATGGTCAGGCCGCTCAATCTAGTGCCTTCAACAGGCAGTATGACACTTTGGTGTTGGAAATCAGAGGTCTGATTTTATTCTGGGTAGTGTATTCTTCTCAAAACAAGAACATTCTAGAGTTCTGTTTTACATCCTCATGGAAGATGGCGAATGAGGTGAGAACCCAGAGGACAGCAGAGGCCCTGAGGGGCCTCAGTGCAGACAGCCTGCGCTTTAACCGCTGCTCCCACTTGAGATATTGTCCCAGTTGTTGTCAGTTTTGCCCAGATAAAATGCTGGTGTGCAGGATCGCTCTAATGAATCAGATAGTTCAGCCTTAACCCACCCCCACCCCATAATCTTCATCTTCCTGCAAATAGGAATGTCTCTGCAGACAAAATTCAGCTGTACTTCTCCCAGTTCTGTTAGTCCCAGATGTGCAGGGACCGCCATGTGGGTCCCGTGAGACCCACGAGAAGCGTTTAACTGCTCTGAAGAGGGAAGTTCAAAGACGTGGACTTGATTCCACCTATCCAGGTTGCCTACATTTGAAATTCAGGACACAGGGAATGGACTTTTCCCACCCCCTACCCTCAACTGTGGCCTCAAAATGGAGACCTCTTATGGTAAACTCCAGGCACAGCCCCCTTGATTTCCACTGGCCATAAATGCTATTCTGAACTTGGTATTTCCTGTGCTCTTAGTTGATTTTTTTCCTTATACACAGTGTGCCTTTCTGCTAGTAGTGTAAGGGGGTCCTCTTTACAGTATACTTCTGTGTCAACACTTAGTATTGTTAGATCTTGCTTTATGTGGCTATAAAATTAAATTGTATTGTGGGCCTAGTTTATATTTCCTTGTTTCTCAGGGAATTATTATCTTACTAATTCCTTGATTCCTTAATAATTCCCATTGTTCCCTTAGGTTTTAATTTAGGTATCTCCTAATCTCTGAAGCCTTCCTGGACTCCCGTAAGATTAGTTCATTTGGCCATTTAGTTTGAGCCTGTAGCTCTGTGCCCATACATTCATATTTTTCTATATATAATGGCCTGTTTATTTGTCTTCCTCCCTTGAGATTTGTAGAGTCTCCTGGAAGGGGGCGATCAATCTGTTCTGTTCAGTAGAACAGAGACTGTCAGAGTGTGCCTCGCACTTAGTAGATTCTCAGTAAATGCTTGCTGAGTGAATGGCAACCCGTACTTACCTGTGTTACATGCCTATGGCAGCCACTGTCACTGAAATTGTCTATATAGAGTTACATTTACATGTTAGGGCTGATTTTCAATTGTAATTGTTTTTCTATGTCCAAGGATGGCCGTCATGACTAAATGTAGGTGTTAAAAGCTGAGCTGTAACTTTTCCTTCCAAAGTTTAATACCACAAAAACATGATTCCAGTTTCAATGCTGTCTCTAACTAGGTAGTTTTTTGGCATCAATTTCCATCTTTAAGAAAAGCTTCCAGTTTCTAAAATAAGTTCAGGTCTATTCTATCCTGTTCTGTTAATTTCACTGAAGTTAATGGCTAAGCCTCCTGCACATAGTTTTATAACATTAGTCTTCCTAAGGCTAACATTCCTACTCACTTTGGTTTTGTTGTTGTTGTAGATATTTTCAAGATAACTAAATAAACTATTAGTTTAAGAAATGAGCCCTAATTGGTATGGCTCAGTGGATAGAGCTTTGGCCTGCAGACTCAAGGGTCCCAGGTTCGATTCTGGTCAAGGTTGCAGATACATACTCAGTGGGGAGTGTGCAGGAGGCAGCTGATGGATGTTTCTCTCTCATTGATGTTTTTAACTCTCTCTCCCCATCCCTTCTTCTCTGTAAAAAATCAATAAAATATATTTTTTTAAAAAGAAAAAGAAATGAGCACATATGTGACATTCACTGACAGGTGATGCCTGAGATCATGCATGCAGTTAGTTGCATGACAATTAAGTCTCTGTGGCTATGGCAACTCTGGGCACGCTGCTCCCCCTGTGGCAGAAAGTCTGGTGTGCTGAGTGTCTGTTTATGCTGTTGTACCTTCCCTGATCTTTGTCTTGACCTTGGTCCCACAGTCTCTTGGAACCTCAGTATTCCCTCTGGAGTATGAAGAGAGTCCTGGTGAATGGAAAGAGGGATGGTAGTTACATTCAGTTACTCTGTCAGATAATATCTATGTCAATGGACCCCATTACTATAGAACTAATCGGGCGAAGGGGCAGAAATATCCAGTGGTATGATCCTAAAGCTTTGCAGTGAGCCTTCCTTCTGCAGCCGTGCAGTATCACAGACATGTTATTGTCACTGTGGGGCCCCTGCATGTAGACAGAGAAGGACTAATTAAGATAAAAATATAGGTAGCCCTTCCTTCTGGGTGATGTAGGTATGCGGGTGTAGGTGTGTGCGTGCCCGTATGTCTGAACACCTGTGTTTTCCTCTATAGAAAATTGCACTGGGTAGCTGGTGTGTTTTTCTAGCATCTTCTCACCCATTCTGATGGTGACATGGGAGACCATTTCTTTGAGTACAGAACCCTTTTCCGGTGCCCAGCTCACATCACAGCGGAGTTTAGGAAGGACGGGGCCTCAGGGCACAGGCTGCTCTCCCTGCAAGGGGCAGTGAGCGTGGGAGGAAGAATTCCTGCAGCAGCTCACCTCCTATAGCCCCTCATCCCCACCCGCTCAGAAGTGAATTTCAGAATAGCCAAATTATCTTTTCACAAAAAGAATGTGTTAACGGAGAGATGAGACAGCCTTCCAGCCAAGTTGCTGTCTGCCCTCGCTCTCCAGAAAGGGAGGAGAGGAGAGCAGCCCCTCCTGCCCTTGACCCAGCGTGAAGGCTGCTGGGACCAAGGCCTCCCCTCGGTGCTCACTGTCTGGGGTCTAACCTGGCTTTATTTTCCAACAGGACATCGACGGTCAGGCGCTCCTGCTGCTGACTCTTCCCACCGTGCAGGAGTGCATGGAGCTGAAGCTGGGGCCCGCCATCAAGCTGTGCCATCAGATCGAGAGAGTTAAAGTGGCTTTCTACGCCCAGTATGCCAACTGACTCTACCCTCCGCGGAGGCGGCCGTTGTCTGGGTGATGCAGTGTCTGAGGAAGGTGTCCAGGACTGGAACTTTTATTCTTCCCTGGAGACGTGAGATGGTTCATTCAGTCACCGGAAAACAGGAAGCACCAAGGACCTCCTTCACCCCCAGCCTGTTTCATAGTTCCCTGTGTTCAAAGCACACACCAGGACCACAGCAGTGGCTCTGGAGGGTGCACATTAAAGTTCTGTGTCAGACCCTGCGGGATATGAGGAGCTTCTTTGTACAGCCACCTCTCGCCTTTCCCCCACCCCAAACCAGGCGGCTTTTTATGAACAGGGCCCTGAACCAGGGCCCATGTGTCTTTGAAAACACCTGGAGGTGCATTGATGTCTTTTCAGTGTGACCCAGGAGGCTGCCTGGCTGGTGGTGTTCGCTCTAATCATTCTCAGGCGCATTCATAGATGCTTCTTCGTACCTGTACACGTGTGACTGTCACCGCCGTTTGATCTTGGTGGCAATTAGTTTCTCAAACACAGCTGTAGGTGATGTTTCAGGACATAGCTGTGAAGAGGTGTGCTAACCCTGCATCGCCCGTCAGAGGTGCCTTCTAGGAAGTTTGGGGGTGAAGGAAGGCGGTGTGCCCTGGCGATGAGACCATTTCCCGTGAGTCATGGACACCTGTTTGCAGGTTCTCTTACGGGATCTCACATATCTCTCACATTCTCATTGAAGTGTGACTGTATCTGGGAGGGACTCCTTTAGTCTCTGGGAAATGCTGAGTTGTATAGTGAAGGTGGAGATTAATTTCAGATCGCAGGAGTGGGAAGAGATTCGAGAGAAACTTCTTATATGCCAGCTACGTGCCCTTAGCAGATTCCCTTTGAAGGCCATTCTCATGCTTGGCCCTGGCCACTCCTTTACAATAGGCCAGTGCCTCAGCGGAGCGAGCACTGCCCTGGAGTCAGGCCTGGTCTTTCCCTGGCATGGCTGATGACTGTGATCTTGGGTGGCGATCATTCCTGCCAAGTGACTGACTGAGACACTTAAGACTGGAGCAGTGAGCACACCTTTTCCTGTCTCCATTCTGCTAAGGGAAGAGTCTAGATTGGCCAAAATGGGGAAAAGAGTAAATGGGGAAAAGAGATGTGCACAGAGCTTTTAACTCTGCCAGTCCTGCAGCTCACTCTGGCTTTAGGTTCTTACGACATTTCTTGGGCAATTTTTATTAAATTGGTAAAGAAAGGTCTGTGACTCTGAGAACTCGCTGGTTGTGTGTACCAAACACTTCACATGTGTATGCCCCCTGAGTGATCCAATATATATGTTCAAACCCAAAGGGACTATATTGTATTGTGTTACGGTAGTTGCCCCAATACCTTTTTAAATGCCAAGTTGTTCAGAAGTGAACACCAAAGGCAGAGGCTACATGTCCTTCAGTTACTTTTCTCTCTATCATCACCTTCATCTTTTTTGCTTTGATCAGAGTCTCAATAATTCCTCTAACACCATGGCAAAGGATGGGGTTGCCGGGGAGGGCGCTTGTTAGTTGCTCATACTTCTGCTACATTTTAAGGCGGGACTGCCAGATTTGGAAAAGTTTGATTACTAATGCTAAACCGTACTAACATTCTGTCACTGTTCCAGATGAAAATGGAAAACAAGTATTTTGCGGTTGAGACATTTTCATCTCCCTGTAGCTGATTTCTGCAGTCCAGTTTTAAACTTGTGGCAAATGCAATTGCCTGGGGACCACTGACGGAAGGACCCTTGTCTTAAGCACCGTTGTGAGGATGGAAATGTCCCCTGTGATTTTTGCTTGGCTCGCAGTCCATTCTCTCTTCTAAGCGAAACTTCCGACCCCCCTCTCGGTTTCCCATCCCTGCCTTCTTAGCCACATGCTTTTTGGCCTTAAATGCTCCGTCTTGTGGAGTTAAACTCTGTCCACAATTGGAAAGGGTATCCATTTCAAGATCTTGGCATTCTCCCTGTGCCGACTCATTCTTGATCTCTCACTGTGGCCTTTTTAAGCTCAGCTCTTTTTGTTGCATTTGAAACTGGAAGGAAGGAGGGAATGTGGCAGCTGAAACCTAGCAATGTGCTTGCAGCACTAACGTCACCTTCTCATGCCCTCTCAAAGATGACACACAGGAGGAGGCGCGGCACTGAAGCAGATTTCCTGGGGGAGGAGGGAGTATCTGGAGCCGCCCACCCAGAGGAGCTGGAAGGCTCCCACCAGACAGCTTGGACAAGAGCTGGCCACCATTGCTGGGGACGCTTCCTGCTCCCCGCAGGGCCAGGTGCCCAAGACCCTCCTCTTCCTGTCTCTCTATCTGTGCTCTGCTTTGTGTGTGTGGAGGACACACCTGTCACCACAGGCAGAAGGCCAGCCTGAGTGATCGCCCTGAAGTGATCGCATGCCATCCCCTGGCCCTTCTGGGAGCCCAGATAATGTTTTAGGATCAAGAAGATGCTTTTGCTCTGAGTGTTGCCTATGGCCTCCTGAACTTGGATTCTTTGAGAATTTCTGTGGTGGTGGGTATAAACTTCACACCAGTAGCAACTGAGCTACGGAACTGTAAGGCTGTGTTCATTTCTCTGTATGAGCCTCCTCTCACCAGCGTCTGTCTTAGAAATAGGGCCAACTCCCAGGAATGTTTTACTGTGCTGTTACTGTGTCTCTTAGGGCAGGAAATACTGATGTGACACCTGCTACCACCCCCTCCCCCAAATGCCATCACAGCCCCTACATGGAAACACTCCTACAAGTGACGCCCCTCTCTTGCCCATTCCAGATACTGTGATCTCGCCTCTCTCTCTCTGGTAATACTTTGGGACCAAAGTCCTGTCCTTTGTGTACCCGGACCCCCCGCGCACACCATGCCGCTCATACCTCTTGGGATGGCTGGGACGCGTGTTCTCCGTCCCCTGGGCCAACACACACTGACAATCTGGACATGTGTATACATACCTTGGGAAGCAGAAATGCCACCTCGTCTTTCATGATACAGGCCCATCATCACTCGATCCCACTCGAAATCGAATGGAGCTTGTTTCAGCCTCTAACTTCTTGACTTTATTTGTACTGTGTTGGAAAAATACTCTCCACAAAACTATAAGCATAAAAACCTAAGAAGAGCAGGGTATGACTGGCATAACAGAACTTAATGTGCTTTTCAAAAAAAAAAAAAAGTAGGCAAACACCTTTCCTTCACCATGGAGTTGTGTAGCACGAAGAACTCACCCATTCCTTTTAAAATTAGGTTCATTGGATCAAAGTTTGGATCATGGTGGTTGAGCATTAGAGCTGTTCGGTTGCTTTAGCTTATTTGATCACGTTTGAAGGGTGATTTCCTGTGTTTGCTTTGATTTGTTTCTCGATAAGTTAAAGCGACTCAGAAGTTGAACACTGCCGCCTCTGACCCTGCTACAGTCTCCAGAAGGTTGATCAGCTTTGAAGACTGGTCTCAGTTTCCCAGTTTGTCTCGTAGGATTTTGAGTGTCATATCAGGCAGATTCTGAGCTTTTCCTTTCATCTCAGACCAGACACCCCTTTCTAAGAGCGGTTCTCCCTTCGTTTTGGAAGTGCTAGGTGTTTTCATACTTCTTTTGTGGAACACCCGTTTATATTTATTTCTGTATATAGGACAATAGAAACAGTAGTGTACAATCTTCGTTGTGGTTTGAACATTGTTGTCACTTTTTGGTTAAGATGGTAAACCTAGGCTCCAAGTACTCTGTTCTGTCTTTAGAAAGCTGTGATTGCGAGTGCAATGATTTGGAGGGAAAAATAGTAACGTAAGGTATCTGTTGTTTTTAAGGATGAACTTGTTGGAGGAAGATGCATACTGCCCATGACTCTTTGGTGCAATAACTAACTAGCAACTGTTACAATTTAATGATTCTCCTATTTATTCTCTCTCCTTTTCTGTTCAAGGGATTTCTAGACTCCCTTTAACTTGGTTGAATCTTAAGGTTGATTGATTTTTGTAGCTTCTATCACTAGAGTTGGTTTACAAGTATTCAAAACATGATGAGATAAAATCGAATTGGGTTATTTGCTCACACTTCGTTTACATAAAAATTGTAATGACTGGCACCTGGGGTTGGGTTAAAAGCACCTCTAGTTTAGATGATAAATAGGAACGGTGTCCTGAGCTGCAGACTCTCCATCTCACTGCTTTTGTTTTCAATGGCCAGGATTTGGTACCAGTGAATACAGAGATCTAGTCTCAACACCAAGCATAGTGGTGCTTTCTATGCGCCAAAGAGCAGCGTAGAGGAGAAAGGGAAGTTTGGGGGCAGGCTGGAAACCACTTTATGATGGGAAATTGGAGGCAACATTCTTTAAATGACAGAAAAAGTAATGATCTCATTTGTTGTTCAGATGGAAGCTAGCATGATATCTGGAAGCGTAAACTGTCCCTAGTCGTGAATGTCGAAAGCTTTTTCCCTGTTTTGCATTCCCGTTTGAAGAGTTTGTGTTGAAATTTGAGTCATCTATCTTGTGTATGTTTCAGTGCATAACAGGGAAAATTGGGGTTTCTTTACTTTTGAGATTTGCAGGACAAAAGAGCATGTTGTTGGTTCATTGTAAGATTGTATTCTGTATATATGTTTTCATGTAAATAAGTGAAAATCTATATCAGAGTTATATTTTAATTTTTATTCTCAATGACAAAAACCCTTTTTACTTGAAAAAAAAAATGGAAGCCACATTGTTAATAAAGTACAAATAAATTCTATGGTGGTGTTTGTGTCTTTGTGTTGAAGGTTATTAGTTATTTTTCAGGTTTGCGCTAGAATTAATTTTTTGTTTTGCTGTGTGCTACAACAGATGTGACAGTTTTAATAACCGTGGCTCTCAAAATCCTATGTTAAGTTTCAGGGTCACATGCTAACTAGCTCTGCAACATTTTATTCTAAGAGCCCCAGTGTGCTCTTTTCATTGAAACATTATTCTATCCCTGGCATGCTCACCTCTAGCTTCCCCGTTTTCAGTGATTGCAGTTGCTCTATGGTTACCTGGTGCATTAGGACAAGCACTGCTTTATGTCTGTGAGAACGGTAATCACCACATTTGTACTTATCATTGCCCTTAAATGTCACGACTGAGTCTCCGGTGTCTCCATTGGAAGAGGAAGAGGTCCCTTTGTCATTGTCCTGTCACGGGGGCTCTCAGAGGCGGGTCGTGCTTCTGCCCTCTCTGCCCCCTCTGCCATATTGACTCAGGTAACTGCCTAGAGACAGAGAGAAGGTGAACCAGGGAAGGAGGCATTCAAGGAAAGGAGGTAGCAGGATCTGCACAATTTTTCCTCCCGACTGCAGACATTCTCAAGCCTATTAATATATGTTGACCCTGCTGACAAGTCCTGCATATAGAAATCTTGGTTTCATTTTTAATCA